CAGCGGGGGCGGCGGGGGCGGGGGCGCGGAGCTGCCGCTCTCGGCCATCAGGCACGCGTTGCCGCCGTTGTTCTCTCTCTTGACCAGCAGCTCGGTCGCAGTGGGCAGCGGGATGGGGTGGCTGATGCCCAGTTCCTCCTCTTGGGCCTGCTGCCTTCTCAGGGCCACCTGAAAGCACAGGGCAGCAGGTCACCACGTGCATCACCCGCGCAGCTTTGAGAAAAAACGCTGAAGCCGCTCCCCCCCAGGCCGCCCGATTCAGCAGCTCCAGGCTGAGGGCTGAGCAGCTCCCGCTGCCAGGGAACTGCGATGAGCAGCCAAAGCTGAGAAATGGGTTAGAGCCAGTGTCTGGCCCACAGTAGGCGCTCAAAACAATGTTCGGTAAATGAGTTAGCATGTACAGAAGGAGGAAATAGGTTGGCTAGGGAGAACCCGGAAGAACGGTAGTCAGCCCCGCAGAGGTGTTGGATCTGAGAAGTCTGCACTCCAATGTTAGACAGGCAGGGGAATGGGATCTTCTTCGCTCCACAAATCTGTAACAGGCCACTCTGCGGGGAACGGCGACCAGCAAGCTACAGCGAGACTAGATTAGATCCCAGGTACTCACTGTTTTAAAGGAGAAACAAGCCCTGGCTGGACGGGTGGCTCAGCTGGTTGGACATCACCCTGTGCACCCAAAGGTTGCATGTTCAACTCCCCGTCAGGGCACACTCCTAGCTTCCAGTTGCATCTCAGGCCTGGGTGTATAGGAGGCATCTCTCTCCACCTCTCTCTCTCATAGAAGGCATCTCTCTTTCTCTCTCCCTCCCTCCTCCTCTCTCTAAAAATCAATAAAAATACAACCTTGGGTGAGAATTTTAAAAAATAAATAAATAAACAAACAAACTCTTAAAAGGAGAAACAGGAGGCAAGCAAAATGCAACTCAAGACAGATTGCAGAATGTGGCAAACACCACAGGAGAGGCACACACCAGTCCTACATTCAGAGCCAGGAACGCCTTCAAGTGTAAGAATCACCAGAGGTGGTACTGGATCAGAGTCTTGAGTATTAGATGGACTAGGACTTGGACAGGTAAGGATGAAGGGGCAGAGCAAGGGAAGCAGGTGGGCAGGAAAGTCAGGCTGCTGGTGACAGCCTTCAGAGCCTGGGGTGGAGGGGAGGGAGCATGTGGAGAAGTAAGGGGAAGAGGGGGAAAGGGCTGGAAGCTGGTATTGAAGCCCCTGGAGAAGGGAGAGGCCCGGAGGTGGAGAGAAAGCGAGGGGAAGGTGGAATTCCAGGCAGGAAAGGGGGAGATGGAAGCAGGAAGGAGGAGATAGAAGGGACCTAACATCAGGCACTCCTGCCCGGCCAGTGTGGCTCAGTGGTTGAGCATCCACCCAGGAACCAGAATTTGCTAGTTGGATTCCCAATCAGGGTACATGCTGGGGTTGTGGGCTCCCTCCCCAGTGGGGGGCGAGCAGGAGGCAGCCAACCAATGATTCTTTCTCATCATTGATGTTTCTCTCTCTCCCTCCCTCTTCCTTCCTCTCTGAAATCAATAAAAATATATTTTAAAAAAATAAACTCCTCATAGCCCCTCTTCAATTTATCTTCTTTTAAATAACATTATTAAAGGTAGAAAAAAAGAGGTGTAAAGAAAATAAACTGCATTTTGGCTGACCACATGTAACAAAAAAAGAGACTTTCTGTTGAAATTGACTCTTGGTGATAATGAAATGAGAACGCACCTGCACCTCGGAGTCCCAAAGACAAGCCAAAGTTGAAATCAAAATGGTAAACTGGTTTGCTTTGGATTTTTTTTTAAATGGCAAACTGGAAGCACAACTACAATTTATATTTTGTTTTAGGAAAATTGTAGTCCAAATTCAGAAAGCTGATTAATTTGGAAGCAATTTTACTCATTATAAGAGGAGTTTTCAACTTATAAAAGAATCCTTAAATAATTAAGATTAAATAATTATGCTTAAATTTTGGACTTTCTATTATTAACCATGAGATTTTAAAACAGAATATTAAAGATCTGATCATAAATAATAAAAAATACCCACAAACCTGTGCAGTATGCCTATGCCTATACCTTGATTTACACAAATCCCATTCATGCACAAAACATACAAAATATTCCATAAACTAAAGACACTTTTACAAAGACCTCCCAAGGGTTCTTAGGAAATGTTATTTAAACAGGGAAGGTGAGGCAACTGACTTAAAAAACAAACAAACATGCAATTAATCAGAGTCATATCTAAAATCAATTTCAAATTATTTTAGGACTGAAAAAAAAAAGCTGTTACATGGATTTGAAAGGTTTCATCACAACACCTGCCTTCTGATGGGGAAAACACCCAAGTTTCACATTTTCATAAAAGTAATCCTGAGTTGCTTTTGCTTTTAACATAACAAACAGCCCTCTCCCAAGTTAGTGCCCCTACAATAAAGCTTGTTCAAAATGAATATTTTTATTATATTTTTAGGAAAATTCCCCTCCCAAGCATACTCTCCACACTATTTAAGTCAACGACTACGTGTTCAGAATATTTTTCTGCCTACAAACACAAGCTAAATGTTCCTAAGGTGTGTTTTTTTCCCAATGAGTTCATTGTGATGCATTTGAACGCGACACTCAGTTTACTCATTTCATCCACTGTAGATTAAGCTAAAAATCTAGAGAGAAACCAAGAAAAAACAACCTGCATTTCCATGACTGCACTCAGAATCTATGAAGCCAAAATAGATCTATTTTAAAAATCATTTTTCTAAAAAAAGGATATACATAAAAGTATAATCTTTACGCATTTGTGCAGTCCTGTTCAACGCGCTCAACTAAAACATTTTCAATGGAGGATATTTACACATTCCTCCCCAAAAGTAGCACATCGTTGGTAAATATCTTGGGTATCTATCTTTTCTTTTAAAATAACCTGTCTTAAAAGATAAAAAGTTTTTAGCTGGGGAAAAAAGTTTTTATTCTCTTCTAAAAATCCTTTTAGGATACCGAAGACATTAACTATTTCCGTTACGAAGTTAAATTACTGTCGTGCTTTTGCCGTTTTAAAAGAAAATAAAGCACGAACGACAGACAAAACTTCAACCCCTAGCGCTTCCTCCGCCGCGCATATTTTTAAAGGAATTCTGGAGTGCGTTTTAAAAGGGAACACAAAGCAATTCGTAGTTGAGTAAGTTGGGTCGGGACAGCACACGGGACGACGCGGTAAAGGTGCCGGTCGCGGCGCCCAAAATGGCTGAGGCGCCGCGGGCCACGCGGAGCGAAG